GGTGAGTGTAGCGGTCGTGGGTGATCAGAGTGTAGGGCGAGTCACAGGTGATCATGAGTAGCAGGTGTGGGTGAGGGCGAGTGAGTGTGAGCGGGATGGGGTGGTAAGATGTAGTGGTGATGCAGTGAGTGTCAGGCTGTTGCGGTCGTGGGGATGATCATGAGTTAAGCTAGGGACTCCGTGGGGTGATCATGAGCTGTGACGGTGTGGGGTGATCATGAGTGGTAGCGGTCGGGGGGTTGAGTACAATGAAGTGTAGCGGTTCCGTGGGGGGTTATGTGATTCATGAAGTGGGTAGCGGGTCTTTGTGGGGGGTGATCAGGTATAGAAAGTGTAGGCGGTCAAACAGAGGTGATATGAGTGGTAAAGCGGTCGTGAGGTTAGATCATGAGGTGTAGCCGTCAGTGGGGTAGATTCATGGAAGTGTAGCTGAACAGGGTCCCGTGGGGTGATCAGATGAGTGTTAAGGCGGAGTCGTGTGGGTGATCATGAGAGTGTAGCCTCGTGGGGTGAGATTCGATAGGAGTGTAAGCGGTCCAGTGGGGTGATCGATTGAGGTTGTAAATCCGGTGCGTCGGAGGTGGATCATGAGTGTGCGTGGTGGTGAATCAATGAAGTGTAAGCGTTGGGTCCCAGGTGGGGGTGATGCATTGAGTGGCTAGCGGGTCCGAGGTGGGGATGACGATCGATAGAGGTTCGTAGCAGGGGTCACACGGGTGATCCTGGAGTGTGAAGGGCGGTCGCGTGGGGTGATATGAGGTATAGGGGTCGGCGGGGTTTCAGTAATAGCGGTCGTGGGGCTGATCATTTGAGTGTGGAGCGCGTGTGGGGTGATCATGAAGTGTAAGCGGATGCGTAAGGGGGTGGATCATGAGGTAGCTGGTCGGTGGGTGATCATGAGTGTAGCGTCGTGGGGTGATCATGAGTGTAGCGGTCGTGGGGTGATCATGAGTGTAAGGCGGTCACAGGGTGAGTGCATCGAGTGTAGCGGGTCGCTCGGGGTGATCCATGAGTATCAGGGGTGCCGCGGGGTCAGTAAATAGAACGGCTCGTGGGGTGATCATAGTGTAGCGGTCGTGGGTGATCATGAGTGTGAGCGTCCGTGGGTGATCATGAGTGAATAGCGGTCGTCGGGTGAGTCATAGTGTAGGGCGGTCGTGGGATGATCATGGAGTGTAGCAGGCTCGTCGGGGTTGATCACTGAGTGTATGGCGGTCGTGGGTGATCATATGTAGGCGTCGTCGGGTGAATTGGCATGAGTGTAGCGGTCACAGGGTGACATGAGGTTGTAGGGGGCCGGTGGCGTGGGGTGATCATGAGTGTAAGCGGTCGTGGGGTGATCATGATTGTAGGGCGGTCGTGCGGTGATCATGAGTGTATGGCGTCGTGGGTGATCATGGAGTGTAGCGGTCGTGGGGTGATCATGAGTGTAGCCGGTCGTTGGGTGATCTCCGAGGCGCGCCATGAGGTGATAGACCCGAGCGACGTGGGCGTAGGCCGCGCTCCGCCTCCCGCCGTGGCCCACCGGGCTCTGAGGACGGACCGGGGCGGCGGGTTTAACGGGCGGCTGGGGTGCGGAATCGGCGGGGGACGGAGGAGGTCGTCGGGGATAAGTCAAGAATAACCGTCGTGGTGTGATTCAAGACCAATGATCTCTGCCATGCCATGCACATCGGGGATGAAGCAACGCCGCGGCTTCGCCGATTGTTAAGCGGTCAGCAGGGTGATCATGAGTGTAGCGGTCGTGGGGTGATATGAGTGTAGGGCGTCGTGGGGTGATTCATGAGTGTACGGTCGGTGGGGACTGTCATGAGTGTAGCGTGACAGGGGGTGATCATGAGTGTAGCGGTCCACGAGGGTGAGTCATGAGTGTAGCGGTCCCGGGTAGTGATCATGAGTGTAGCGGTCGTGGGGTGATCATGAGTGTAGGGCGGTCGGCGGGTGATCATGCAGTGTAGCGGTCCGCGGAGGTGATCGATGAGTGTAGCGTCGCTGGGTGATCATGAGTGTAGGGCGTCGTGGGTGTATCATGAGTGTAGCGGTGCGGTGGGTGATCATGAGTGTAGCGTGTCCAGGGTCGATGCATGAGTGTAGCGTCCAGGTGATCATGAGTGTAGCGTCAGTGGTGATCAATAGTGTAGCGGTCCGTGGGTGATCATGAGTGTAGCGTCGTGGGTGATATCATGAGTGTAGCGGTCTCCAGGGTGATCATAGAGTGTTAGACGCGGTCGTACGGGTGATGCATGAAGTGTACAGGGCGGTCGTGGGTGATCATGAGTGTAGCGGTCGTGGTGGTATCATAGAGTGTAGCGGTCGTGGGTGATCATGAGTGCGGGCGGTCACGTGGGTGGATCATGAGTGTAGAGCGGTCACGTGGGGTGATCATGAGTGTAGCGGCAGGGTATCAATGAGTGTAGCGGGCCGTACGGGGTGATCATGAGTGTTACGCGTCCAGGGTGATCATGAGCTGTAGCGGTCGTCGGGTGATAATGAGTGTAGGGGCGTCAACGGGTCTGATCATGAGTGTAAGCGGGTCAGTGGGGTACTTATCGAGTGTACGGTCACAGGTGATCATGAGTGTAGCGGTGCACGTGGGTGATCATGAGTGTGAGCGTCAGTGGGTGATGCATGAGTGTAGCGTCAGCGGAGGGTGATCATCCGAGTGTAGGGCTCGTCGGGTTGATTCATGAAAGTGTAGCGGTCCCGGGGTGATGCATGAGTGGTAGGCGGTCGTGGGTGAATCATGAGTGTAAGCGGTCCGTGGGGTGATCATGAAGTGTAGGCGGTGCGTGGGGTGAACATGAGTGTAGCGGTCCGTGGGGTGATCATGAAGTGTAGGGCGGTCGGTTGGGGTGATCATGTGACGTATAGGCGGTCGTGGGGTGATCCATGAGTGTAAGCGTCGGTGGGGTGATCAATAGGAGTGTAGCCCCTCGTGGGGTGATCCATGAGTGATAGGCGGTCGTGGGGTGATGGCCATGGAGTAATAGCGTCGTGGGGTGGATCATGAGTGTAGGCGGTCGTGGGGTGATGCATGAGTGTAGCGGTCGTGGGGTGATCATGCAGTGTAGGTGCGGTCGTGGGGGTGATTCAATTGAAGTGTAGCGGTCGTGGGGTGATCATGAGTGTAGCGGTCACAGGGTGATCATGAGTGTAGCGGTCACAGGGTGATCATGAGTGTAGCGGTCGTGGGGTGATCATGAGTGTAGCGGTCGTGGGGTGATCATGAGTGTAGCGGTCGTGGGGTGATCATGAGTGTAGCGGTCGTGGGGTGATCATGATGTGTAGGCGGTCAGCAGGCTGATTCATGAGCTGATAGCGGTCGTGGGGTGATCATGAAGTGTAGCCGGTCTAGCAGGGTGATCATGAGTGTAGCGGTCGTGGGGTGATGCAATGAGTGTAGCGGTGCGTGGGGTGATCCCTGAGTGTAGCGGTCCCGTGGGGTGATCATGAGTGTAGCGGTCGTGGGGTGATCATGAGTGTAGCGGTCGTGGGTGTCATGAGTGTAGGGGGCGGTCGTGAGGGGTGATGCATGAGTGTAGCGGTCGGTGGGGTGATCAGTGGAGTGTAGGGGCGGTCGTGGGTGATCATGAGTGTAGCGGTCGTGGGGTGATCATGAGTGTAGCGGTCACAGGGTGATCATGAGTGTAGCGGTCGTGGGGTGATCATGAGTGTAGCGGTCGTGGGGTGATCATGAGTGTAGCAGGTCGTGGGGGATCAATGAGTTAGCAGGTGCACAGGGTGATCGATGAGTGTATGCGGTCGTGGGGTGATCATGAGTGTAGCGGTCACAGGGTGATCATGAGTGTAGCTAGTTGGCAGCGCGGTGGCAAGGGGTGACTAACCTCCCGCAGGGACACACACGCACACAGCCTGCATGCTGCGATGCTGTCAATATCAATGCTTGTCACGGTCACCGGGTAAGGTGCGCTGCGGCGTGTTTCATGACTGCGGGTACGGTGCGTGTGTGTGTGTGCGTGTGCGTGTGCGTGTGCGTGTGCGTGTGCGTGTGCGTGTGCGTGCGTGTGGGTGTGCGTGCGCGTGTGTGCGTGTACGTGCGTGCATGCGCGTGTGTGCATGCATGCATGACCATGTTTGCGTGTGTGCATGCATGTATGACCATGTTTGCGTGTGTGCGTTCCCCCTAGAGGTTCCCCCCTAGAGGCACCCACGTAAGTTCATACGAGAAACATGAACTCCTCTAACAAAAGCAGACATATTATCATCTTGACAAAAATACTCCCGTTTCAATTAGCACATCCCTCCTACCTAATTGCTATAAATTTTACGAAGTTATTTTCTTAGATCTTTCATTTCGGAGTTCAGGTTACGATCCTAGAGCTAGATCAACACATTTAATTAACAAACAGGAGTTAATTAGCTGCCTGTCACACGTAATATTTATGATACTGCAAAATTTTTTGCGTGACGGTTCCTGATTTATTATCGTAATAATTTATTTTAATTATACACCCAGATTTAAACTTGGTCTTGCGAAGTGCCCAACGAAAGTCATTTATTTTCTAGACTGAAGTTACCACGGTTAGGCCCATCGCCTAATTACCTCCACCAAAGAGGCTGTTAATTAGTTGTCGCCCCTGTTAGTTTGTTGGTTTGTTGGTTTGTCTGTCAACAGGATATATCTCAAAAAGTTACTGACGGATTTTGATGAAAGTTTTTGGATGAGTTGGTCTTGGGCCAACAACCAATCGATTAGATTTTGGTGGTGACCAGGAATTTTTTGAAGGATTTCTCATCATTGATGGTAGTGTTGTAGCGGTTTACTCTCGCGACTAGTCCATGACTTTGTGTCTACTGTATTCGCCTGGTGTGTCTAGGCCCCTAGGGGTTTATGATGTGTCACCGCCGCGTTAACCCGACTACAAATTAGATTTAAAAAATAATTAAAAAATAAAATAATAATTTATCAAACTCTATATTGGGTGAACCAGCAAGATGAGGGGACTGTTATACGCTGTGGCGGAGGTTTGCTATCTCCGATTGCTCTTGTTATCAGATGTAGTTAGGATGTAACCCTTAATTAATGCTCGATAATGTGGTTTTACGAACTATCGGTTTATAGGTTTATCACGGTATAAGGACCCCTAGTACGTTATATGTTTACAACGTGCAAATGCCTACTTATACGTAAAATTTTTACGTATGCACGCACTTACCGTTTGTTTGCGCATTGAAGCAAAAACTACTTCTCAAGGACATAATCCATTATGTGAATTTTTCCAAAAGTCTTTTAGCGCATTTACTCTCATTATATTGCTCTTTTTTACGTGATATATAAGTAAGAGTTTTGTTGGGTTCTTATATTTTTTCGAGTGAATCCCTCACGGTCATGTGAAATGTGCGTGCGTGCATGCGTGCGTGTTTGCCTGTGTGTGTGGGTGCGTGTGAGTTGGTTCGTGCATGCGTGCCTCCGTGCGTGCGTGTGATTGTGCCTTCATTCGTGCGTTCGTGTGTGCGTGTGTGCGTTCATTCGTGCGTGCGTGCGGGCGTTCTTGCGTGCGTGCGTGCTTGCGTGCGTGTCTGTGTGTTTTGGTTTGTGCGTGCTTGCGTGCGTGTCTGTGTGATTTGGTTCGTGCGTGCGTGCGTGCGTTCGTGCGTGTATTCAGGTACTAGGGACGCAGCTCATAACGTGTGCGAGGTTATACACATTAGCTAGCTGCTAGATAGCTGCATGCATATAATCAGGGGTTAATAATAACAAAATTTGTCATTATTAACCCCTGATATCATGTATATATGACACTCGTGATTCAGGGTGTACAACTTGACGCATGAGGTTAGACCACACACGTGCTCATATCAGACTATTTAGCAAATCTGTCGAGCGTAGACAAATTGTTTTTCCCGGCACAACAACAGGCCGCACCGTAACTCTAGCACTAATTTATCAAAACTCATCAGGCACTCTAATTCGTACGTACAGCCGTAACATTAAGCGTTTTAGGGCTTCCCGTATATTATTATATCGATTTTATATCGCCATGCCTTGTTACCATGGTTGCAGACCCCACACACGCGCACGCACACCCAGCTTAGCTAAGTACTAACGTCTGTAGTAACAGCCCACTGCTTATATTCTCCGCGATTTCCTACGACTATGCCTAGCTACTAATTGAGATTCGTCGTTATTGCGAGTATACACGCACACCCCAGCGCATGAAACTTCGTCCTAAACACTCACTCGTTACGCTCACACACACTCCTTACTCGCGCAGTAAATTACAGCCGATAACGCTTCTCACGCTGAGCTCTCCCAGTAAAGTTAACGCCTCGCGCGCGTTCTACGATGGGAGGCGGTTATTCACACGATGATGGGCGGGGAGGTTGATATAGGCGATATAGGTCATGATGATATATATATATATTACAATATAATTATATATTGATACACTCCTGATATTATCGGCAAAGATATATATAGGGATATATATAGTCAAGAGTATAGATAATAACACATTATGTGTTATTATCTACTCTTGATATAGTATAGGCGATATAGGTGATATAGGCAATGCTATTTATAGGGATATATATAATATATATAGGCAATACAGGTGATGATATATATATAGGGTACTATATATAATATATGTCTATTGTCTGCAGGTGAACCAGGCAGTGCAGCAGACAGGCCGTGCGGTGGCGCACACGAGCAAGGCTGTGGGCAGCGCTCTCACACAGATGTCAGGATCCCTTAGCTCGTGGCTCGGCTGGAAGTGACGATGACGATGGCACGCGTGCGGATGATGTTGTCGTTAGGAGGAGGAGGACTGGCTGCGGCGTGGCTCGGCTGGAAGTGACGATGACGATAGCACGCGTGCGGATGATGTTGTTGTCGTTAGGAGGAGGACTGGCTTTCTCGCCCTATCCCTCCTTCCGTCCTTCTCTCCCTCTCGCTCTCTCCCTTCTTCGTTCCCTCCCGCCCTCCCTATCTATTTCTCACTCTGTCTCCCTCTCTAGCTTTCTCTATTTCTGTCTCTCTCCCACTCTCTCTCTCTATTTCACTCTATCTCTCTCTCTACCTCTCTTTCTTTCTATCTCGCTCTATCTCTCTCTCTCTCTTTTTCCCTCTCTCTCTCTCTTGCTCTAGGCACGCGTAGGTAGCCAAAGCGTACAGCATCTTAGCTATCCAGCTAGCATCTTGTTTAGCAGTCGCTACAGTCAGCGACATAAATATTAGAACGCCGCACGCTCGCGTAATGTAACTACACACCGGCGTTCGCCACTTATGTAGAAAACATCGAGTTTTATCGCCGCTGTCTGTATTAATCGGGTAAGTGTTCATCCCGCAGGTGTATTACTCGCTGCATATTTATCCATTTATCGGCTATTCAACGGACGCCCCATTATCGGGCTACGGCTGTGTGTGCGTGTGTGTGTGTTTGTGTGTGTGTGTGTGTGTGTGTGTGTGTGTGTGTTTGCCTACCCTCCGTTCTTCGAGGGAGACGCCGTCGACAGCCACGAACTGCCCGACGAGTGGCGCCACCTGCCGTCGCTCGCGATCCCCGACGGCGCACACAACTTCCTCGAGGACTCCGTCTTCTTCCACCTGCCGTCGCGCGAGAGCGCCCGCAAGACCGTCTTCGGCGTGTCCTGCTACCGGCAGATCGCCGCATCCGAGCTGCGCGCCGTTGCCGCCGACGTCACGCGCGCGACCGTGCAGAAGAGCGTCTGCGTGCTCACGCGCGCGCCTCTCTACGGCGTCGTTCGCGCAAAGCTCGAGCTCATCACGCACGCGTACTTCGACGAGCTCGACTTCTCGCGGCGAGGGCTCCTCGAGGAGACCTACCGCAACCTGAGCGCCGGGTTTGCGGCCGGCGTCGTCGAGACGTCGTCGCCCGCGCTCGGGCTGTCGGCGCGCGAGCTCGTCACGCGGTACCGACACCGGCTACTCGCTCTCTTTAAGCTGCTCATGCTCGAGCGACGCGTGCTGTTCTTCGGCGCGCCCGTGCGCACGCTGTCGGGAACCGTGCTCGCGCTTGTCTCGCTGTTCCCCGGCGCGCTGGAGATGGGAATGGATGAGGCGGCGTACGTGCGGCCGCGCGCCGCCGCCGACGCGCCCGTGAGAGGCGAGACGGACGAGGAGGAGGAGGAGGAGGAGGAGGGTGGCGATGACGCGGCGGTGGGAGGCGAGTGTAGAGTGGGGAGAGACGACGACGCGGCGGCGGGAGGCGAGGACGCGGCGGCGGGAGGCGAGTGCAGAGTGGGGAGAGACGACGACGCGGCGGCGGGAGGCAAGGACGCGGTGGCGGGAGGCGAGGACGCGGTGGCGGGTGGCGAGGACGCGGCGGGGAGAGACGACGACGCGGAGGCGGGAGGCGAGGACGCGGCGGGGAGAGTCGACGAGATCAACGATCAAATGGACACGATGGAATCCGACGACGCGAGACATCCGAACGGCCCCGCAGGTGGCGCCGGCATCAACGCGGACGCGCGCGGGGGGAAGCGCGGGCACGAGGGCAGCACCGACAGCGGCATCGACTCTCAGTGCATCGACACGCCGGACCACCCTCCCCCGCCGACGCAGCAGCAGGGCAATGCGACTCGGGGGAGGAGGTCGGACGAGGAGGAGGAGGAGGAGGAGGGAGGACGTTCGAACGACCGGACGCTCGCCGTATCCAACGCTTCCTTCCGTCCGCTCGGCTCCACGCAGGAGTTGGACCAGCTGGACGATCTCACGATCGAACAAGCGGCGGACATGTACGCGGCGCCCTCTGGCGACGCCGTCGCGGCGAGCAACGGCGACAGGGCGTCGCCAGCGTGGGAAGCCGAGCGATTCGTCGAGGACACAGAGACGGAGGTGCCCCCTCGCGGCAGCGGCGGCGGCGTCCCGCGCTCCGACAGCCAGCTGAGCCTGTCGGCGAGACTCAAGGCGAACTCTCTCGTCGGGCGCCTCGCGTCCGCCATGTCCTCCTCCTCCTCGTCGGATGGTCGCCACGACGACGACGCTCCCGCCGCGTTGGCGGAAGACGTGGAGTCGCTCTCGCTGGAGGACTGCGGGTTTCCTCTGGACATGTTCGGCCGCGGCGCCGTCTGCCACCCGTACATGAGTCTCTCGCACCTCGACCTCGCCGCCGACCCTGCCGTGACCTCGCTCGTCGGCGGCGCCACGAACGGCCTCTTCCGACACAAGCGCAAGCTGTTCGACGTCGTCGTCGACGTCGTCGCCGCGGACGACGGCGCGGCGGCGCGCGTGGACGTCGTCGACCCCGACCTCGGGCGTCTGATCGCGCTCACCGCCGCCGACCTGCGATTC